GTTTAAGAGTTTAGAACATTGCAAGAGTGTGGGAAGGATTTATAAAGCCTTAAAATTGCTACTTTGTGGATTTTCACTTATTGCCGGGGGGGGGGGGGGGGGGCGGAACGTAACCCCAGCGACAGAACAAGATGTCATGAGGCACATGTGTGTCAAAGGTCATTAAATTATCTTTAACAGATCAGACGTTATGGCCCAAATGAGCATAGACCTTGTATGACATTTGATCTTAATTTATCTTAATTTGTGACCTTGACCTTGAAGGTGGGGTGATGAAAAGATTATGTGACACATCGTCTAATGGTGGTACAAATTTGTACTATGTTTTGTTGAATTAACTTGAGTGGATCAGAAGTTATGTAAGATATGTAGACAAAAGAAAGTTTAAGTGCCGATGGAGAAACCATACTATGTCCATCTTTTGATGGTTGTATAATAATAATAACAATAATAATAATAATAATTTCTACCTTATCTTGTCTAAAAATAAACGTAATAATGATAAACGTAATAATAGTAATAATAATAAGTTATATCTTATCTTGTCTAAAAATATTAGCAATATAATAAGTTATACGTTATCTTGTCTATAATTATTAGTAATAATGATAATAATTTCTACGTTATCTTGTCTAAAAATAAACAAAATAATAATAATAATAATAATAAGTTATATCTTATGTTGTCTAAAATAATAGAAATAATAATGATAATAATAATTTCTATCTAATCTTATGTTATAACAACAACAACAACAACAACAACAACAACAACAACAACAACAACAACTATTATTAGTAGTATTATTGGTATTAGGTTCTCCTATTGAAATAGTCCTTGGTCGGCCTCCATGTGCTTTTTCAAAACTCAAACTAAATTTAAAAGACTGTCTTGAACCACATTAAAAAGGTGCTATCTATACAGAGGAGTTTGTTGGCAGGCTCCAGACTAATGAAGACAAAACATTTCAACCAAGAAGAATCAGTCCAGATGACCTGATTTAACTTTTTGTGATAAATTTAAAACCATCTTTTTGACCCATCTGCACTACCACAACGTTTTTTCTCAACCCACACATTCTAACACCAATACTGGACTATCCATGTCGCTCCGTAAGGTTGTAGGACCGTCCACATACACAATGAAAACACAGAGGAAGAGCTCTTGGTTAAAGATTCTCCTCAAACTTGTCTTTACAATTTCCTCTCAGTTATTACGTGTTTTAGCGCCCAGTCACAGTATGACCGCAGAAAGATGAGAAAAAAGCCAGGCTGATGGAGGAAAAGCTTTCCCGTATTTCTTTAGGTTTCTTGTGCACGTTGACACAGAGGTCGTATGTGAAACAGGCTGCCATGCAAAAATCCCTGAACATGTTAAAGTATTTATTGTTCCATCATTTGTTCATTGAGATGATTTCAGATTACGTTTTTTTAAATAATTTTGTAAGAAATGTTTGAAAAAACTGGATGCAATATCAGGTAACGAGTTAAAAGAGTAAGAAGCTGAACTGGAACAAAATGTGAACAGGGCAGTAAAAGATTGTCAACATATCTAAAGGTATGAAGGATGTAAAATGAGCTCAATTCATTTTCTATGAAATAAACAAACTATATATACAGTATACAATTACAAACTATATAAAAACTTAAGCTATATCATGTTTTGTTATGTCAGCTTCATTTTTTATGCATTCCAAGAAAATGCAGAAGCAATGAAGCTCTCACTTTGTAATGTTGTTCCTTTTTGCAGCTAAGAGACTTTCTGACATTGAGGATATTAAGCAAAGCAGGATTGCAGATGTTTTAATCCTTATGGTTTGTGGAAGGAAAATATGCACATATATAAATGTCTATGGTTTGCATTAAACCAAAGCTTTGCAGGTTTCTGTGTAGCGTTGAAGGCAGCAAGTCTGACTCAATCGGACCTGAACACCAAAAGTAATCAGAACACGAGTGAACAGCTGAAGTTTGAGCAGACTCCAGAAGAAAAACGCATCACTTTGAAAATAAAAATAAAAAAAACCGTAGAAAAATCTTTTTAATTTTTTTATTTTATTGATTTAGAAAAATGATTAAAGATGTTTTGCATGAATGCGTTACATCAATCATCTTGACTGAACAAGTGTTTTTAAAAAAAAAAAAAAAAAAACTC